AGAAAGAAGACTTCCTTTGACAAGGGAAGAAATGGACCATATGTAGCTTATAACTGATGGGCTGTGCATGCTTTTATAAAGCCCATGTTATTAATATATAATTTCCTTGAATGTGCAGAAACTGATACTTTTTTTGAAATGAAGATAGTATTTATATAATATGAATAAACAAATATAATGTTGCAAATGCATTTCACAGCTGGATTTCCAAAAGTAATTGTGCAGACAGAATTTATGGCTCATATTACTCATAACATCACACTTCTTTATGATTGCATTCCCACTGTCTGGACATCTTGCCTCTCCTGAGCACAGCCAGTGTACTCTGTCATTGCCAAATTACAAATTGTCGCTGCATGACACATCCTCAAAGGTGCAGCAAATATTATCAGAGAGGCAGGGGTGGGAATATTACAATCTGTAAGCCACAGGTAATACTTTCCCATACAAGATTTGCATTCTATTCATTATTTTTCAGCAGAAAATAGCAAATGTAGAACCGAAATTTACTCTGCAGTGTGTGTTATAGCCTAATGCTGTTTCAGAACTCTCCCCAGATGTTTTGTGTGTGTATACCTTCAAGTTGCCTATTGACTTATGGCAATCCCAATTTTTTTTTGGGGGGGGGGGGGGAACGACAGGATACCTGAAGATGGTTTGCCAGTTTTTTTCCTCTGATATCTAGCCTATAACAGCTGGCATTTGTTGCCAGTCTCCAATCCCAGTACTAACATGGTGTGATCTTGCTTTGCTTCCAAGTTCAAATGGGATCTGGAAGAAAATTCTGGCTCCTGGAATGTCACTTCCAGTTAGCCAAAATGATGGCAGTGCAACCTGTGCAGGGTTGGAAATGACCCTCCCAACTATCTGATTCTGCCCATCCTGAATCAAAACTTGACTGGCCACAGTTGTCATCAGTTCAGGAACCATGGAATGGTGGGTGTTTGGTAGGTGAGGCTGAGGCTCATATTAGACTTATGGGGATGTTTACATGCTTCCAGAATAATCATGCACCAAATATCATGACCACTAGTTGAGCCCCATTGAAGAACTACCAACCATGTGTCATAATTTATAGCCATTTTCACATACATTTAAGAAGATTTAATGTGTTTTACCTTGCCTCAATATAGTAATATTTGGCTTTAAACAATTTTATAATATTTCATTTATTAATTTTTATTATTTTCATTTCAGCCACAAAGTTAACTTCTTGAGTTAATGGTGTTATTATTACATTGGCCAACACACATTTTGATGCCTCATATGTTAGAACTGTTTCTGGTTATATTTGACCTCCTGAATTAAAAAAAATGGAATCAGTTTCCTCCTCATCTCTAGTTTTTGAGATACAGAACATATGCCACATAGCAGTCTTCATCTGCTCACTCATAGAAAACCATGGTAACCCCATATCTAGGAAACTAGAGCTGCTGCGGTCTATCAAATGGAGTTTTGTGAATCAGTGTCCCAAATAACCCCCAAAAGAGGCCTAAAAACCAAAATGTTTGGCTGTGTTATTATTATTCATTGTCTTCTGTGATTTTACTGTTTTGTCAAACAGTACAGAAAATTCACAATGATGGATCTATCATTGTTGATTCCTGATGAGAGGTTAAATGTTCCATCAACATTGTTCACAGAACAGTATCCTCCAGTGTACTTCATGACAGCAGGCATTGCTTGCTCCAGTTCTCAGCATATGCTGTTAGAAGAGACAACCACTTTTTCCTAATGACAGGGCTGGTTCTTGAGTAGAGGGCATAGAATCAGGTGTTTTTCAACATAAACTAGAGGATGTAGAATCATGACATGGGGAATAAGAGGAGCTATAGGATCATTATCACAGGCCATTTCAGCTTGGAATTAGCCATCAGAGTCCACATATGCATTTTCATTCTGAGATTTTTTTAAATATAGAGCAAGATATATTTTACTAATAGTTTAGAACTCAAACAACAGAAATTTCTGAAGCTAGATGCACAGGAATAGGATGGCAGATGTGCATAGCTGTCCTGAAGGTTGAAGGAACGTATATGCAATATTTGCTCAGGTATGGGTTTTTTGTTTCCACATGCAAGAACGAAAAATGTAAGCATTTTCCCCTTCCACTTCAAATACAAAGACTTCTACACAATTTTAAAGAACTATTTCTTAAAATTATTTGAAACTATTTGGAATTTTGTTTAAACCAATTTTAAACATGCTTTTCTCTGCAGGAAATGTGTTTTCTGTACAAAAAGAAGTATTTTCACACAAAATATATTTAGCACACAATCACTGATACATATGCAAAACTATGTCTTCTATCACCAAAAACATGTTTTCTGCATGGATAAAAGTGTACCTATGAAATCTACATATTCTTCTCTATTCTCTTATTTCCTGTGCAGATAAAATGTGGAGAGAAGGGGAATAGAAAAAGCAAGAAGAGTGTTTTTTGTGCACAGAAGTCTGCCTCTTATACTCAAAGAAATGTTCCTGAGAAATATCCAGGAATGTTTTGGGGTTTTGTATAATGGAGGTTTAGAGCTAAACAGAGTCATTATTTGTTTTTAAAGCAGAGGTACATTGAATTTCAATGGAATCTTCATACTTGGCACTAATGTTGTAAAAAGTTTTGAGAAAGAGATTTTAAAGATATTTTTCATGGAACCTCTAGGGTTCTTTGGAACATAGTTTGGGAAGTGCTGGACTAGAGTAGGCTGATAGTCAGACCTCACCTGGAGGACTGTCCAGTTCTGAGCACTGCAGTTCAAGAAGGATATTGACAAACTGAAACGTGTTCAGAAAAGGGAGATTAAAATGATCAAAGGTTTGGAAATCAAGCCCTATGAGGAATGGCTGAAGGAGCTGGGTATGTTTAGTTAGGAGAAGAAAGGCTGAGAGGGGACATGAGAGCCATGTTGAAATACCTGAAATGATGTCACATTAAGCAGGGAGGAAGCTTGTTTTCTCCTGTTCTGGAGACTAAGGACTTCATCACATTATCTTTGGGATTTGCCACACATTGTGGCGATTCCATGGGGTTCTAGTGGGGAACATGAAGAACTCATCACCCCATGTCCCTCACCACATGACTTACCTCTGCCCCCATCCCATGAGGGGAAACGTCTGCTGCCCGACTTCCTTCCATTGTCCTGAAGACAACACGGGAAGCCTTCCATGTTGCCGCGGCAGCATACACTGCTTGCCCACTCCTTTCTTGATGGAGCCCAGCGGGAAATACATGTGTATCATGTAATAGGCTCTGTGTCAAAAGGGGAGAACATGAGGCATATGGCGGACAAAGAAGCCTGTCTGATGAGGTTGTCTGAAACAGAGCAATGGATTCAAATTGCAGGAAAAGATGACTCCATGTGAATATTAGGGAGAACTTCCTGATGGTATCTGTTGTTTACCAGTGGAATATGCTGCCTTGAAGCATGGTGACGTGTCTTTCTTGGGAGATTTTAAAGCAGAGGCTGGATGGCCAACTCTCAGGGATGCTTTTATTGTATTTTCCTGCATGATAAGAGGTTGGACTTGATGGCTTTGTGGTTTTTTCCAACTCTATGATTCTAGAGAGCTTTCATTTACTGGGCCTAGTCTAAAATAGTGATCCACGCACCTGAACATGCAGTTGCAGCAATCTTCACTTTTCAAAATATTAAAAATAAAAAATTGCAAAATATGACACACTAAGCATAGCACTTTCCTAATAGTTACTCTCCATTAAGATTCCTACTCCTATCAGAGAAAACCAAAGTCTGTATTACTGTAATATATAGGCTGAATATACTTTTTGCTCCTCTACACTATTCAGAATCCAAACAATTCTGAATAGAGATCTGTCCAGTAAAAACTAATTTCAGGTCCATTGCAAGCTTTCCCTTTGATCTAGAAGGCACCAGTATTTCATGAGTTATGTGATACTACACACCCACACACACACACACACAGAGATTTTCAAATCATGAGTCATATTGCTATTAATGACATTCACATAAGTGACGTACAGAATAAGTTGGATATGTAATGTATTTGAAACACATTTTGGGTCAGGACACAGGAGACTCTGGTCCAAATTCGTCTTACTGAAAATCTTATTGTATAGGCAAGCTAGTTTCTAAAGGCCTTAAAGCATCACATTGTGATAACACCAAATGAAGAGATATATTGTAACTTGTCTCAAGCTCTGTGGAGAAGATTTGAAATTCAACCAAAGAAACAAATGATATCATCCTACCATAGAAGCAAACCAGCCGTGAGAGATTACAAAAGGACTGCTCATTCAGAAATAACAATTTCAAAGCACAGCCAACTGATAAGCTCAGCATTTACCCAGCCCGACTTTTTTGGTTTATGATGTTTATGGTAGTTGTCAGGCTTGCCACTGAGTGATGGATTTCAGGGAGATCTCTTGCTGTGTGCATCTTTAATGCTGTCCCCATGACCAGGTAACCTTTAAATCTCAGATTACAAGACAGCAAGCAAGGCATTACAGAACATTATGATATATCCACTTGTCTTCAGGGGGGACATAGTTCATATTACTTTGCTAGTAAAATGCCAGCTCCCAAAACATAATAAGTGCTTAGCAGTTTTAACCCATCTTAAACAGTTATTTGAAGTCTAATTTGTTTCCTTGGCAGAAGAGAACTAGTTCTAAGTGAGGCTGAAGAGTACAATTGTATGGAAAGGATGAGCTGGAGGGGAGGGATAGATCTACTGCAAAAGCTTTGTCATTGCATTTAGGCAAGCATCTGAATGCAAGGTGACACAATTCGACCTTAGCATTCTTTTTATATACCTTAGCATATTTTCTCTCCAATATACTGCAGTATGAGACAATGATGGGAGGTGGGGTGAGAAGAAGAAAAGAAATCTGATTCCCTTCCCCAATAAAATGCTGCATTGAAAAAGGAAATACTGTACCTCACAGAGGCTGAGAGAGGCACTGAGTACACATTGGACTGGCTCCTTATTCGGGTAGGTGCCTGTCTGGATATGATCATTACCTGGGTCCCTGCTGAGAGGATGGTCTCTATCTGACTTCGGGTGATGAGCATTTCATAGTTTGCCCTGATCTCATTGAGGAGTTGGGACAGATCCATGCTGCTCCCATCCTCCACTTTGGCTAACTGAACCTTATGGATAGGATGAGAAGGCTGCTGCAGAGCATTCCCAGTCTGCAGTAAAAATCAGAGAGAAACCAGAGAGAGAAAAGGGAGGGAGGGTGAGGAGGCAGGAAAACAGATTTCTTTTAAAGTGACAGGGTTCTGTTCTTTGAACACCATCAGGGACGCTTCGTCATTCATCATGGCTCTGAGGTTTTCAGACTCAGAGCCAATTAACCTGACTTGGCTTAAGATCCTGCCAGGCTTACGACTGACTTATGGCAATATAGCTCATCTAAGAGCCTCTTCTATATGACCTTTCTCAATATTGGCATTAATCTTCATGCTGCAGAAAATAGTTTTACTAATTTGAGGATATGTGATCCCGCCGGCTTCACAAGCACGGCTGGCGGGGACGAGAGATAGGGCCTTCTCGGTGGTGGCTCCTCAGCTGTGGAACACCCTTCCCGTGGACATTAGACTGGCACCTTCCCTGATGATATTCCACAGGAAATTAAAGACTTGGTTGTTCAAGAAGGCGTTCGAATGAGAAGTACAATGATTGGTAATGACTATAGGAATGGAACAACAGAAAACGATATTGGATTGTGGTTTGGACAATGAGACGACGCTGAATGGTTTTTGTAGTAATGATGTTGTTTTTGTATAATGCTGGATTGTGAATTGTTTTTATACTGTGTCTTGAATGTTGTTGTTCCTCTGTTGTACACCGCTGTGAGTCGCCCCCGGGCTGAGAACAGCGGTATATAAGTAAAGTAAATAAAGTAAATAAACTTGGCATGTATGTGTATATATATGAATCTATCATGGAATGGATATATACCTTACTTACTTTCTTACTTACTTAGGCGATCCCTTGTTGACCAAGTAGGATTGTCTTCCAAGATCGGTGTACTGGTGGTGGGTCCGTAGGTGACTGTGGAGCCCTATTCTTGATCTGCATGTTCTCCTGCAGTGAGGGCATTGGTTTCCAGGTGCAAGGCGGTCCCGGTTGGGGTTGGCTTGACATGCCTTCCTCTTGGCACGTTTCTCTCTTTTGCCCTCCATTCGTGCCTCTTCAAATTCTACAGCACTGCTGGTTACAGCTCACCTCCAGCTGGAGCGCTCAAGGGCCAGGGCTTCCCAGTTCTCAATGTCTATGCCAGAGTTTTTAAGGTTGGCTTTGAGCCCATTTTTAAATCTCTTTTCCTGCCCACCAACATTCCGTTTTTTGGATATATACCAAAGTTTCCTGGACTGTATGCACTGTACAAAATATTTTCATACTTTTAGTTAACTTTCTTACCCCAAACAAAATCCATACCATTTGCCACACCATATCATTTAATGGGACTTGAGCATTAGTATTTAATGAATGTGACGAAATAGAAAGTTACTATTTAAGTTGGTTGTAGGTTACAGATTTTGGTAGCTGGAAAAAGGAAACACATTGTTTATATACCACACTTGTACTGATTTTTTTTTTACAGTCAGCCATCCACAACCCCTGTGAAAGTAAAAATTAAACCTGTGAATAAAATATTTGCAAATTTTTAACCCGAGAGAACACTTCTCTAGGAATTTCTAGATCCTCCAGCATGATTGTGTAGTCAACATTTGGAGAAAATTACCATATAGCCACACTGGAAGACCATAGAGTCACAATGTTAGTATTGAATGAATGAATTCTTTAGTGTACCAGCCATAGGCCATGACATCAGATAATATACAACTTTTAAAAGTATAATAAAATAAGTACAATAATGAGAAAGGCGCAGGGATCTCAATCTAAGACAGTACATAAAAATATGCTAGAATTGAGAAGGAAATATAACCAAACCATCAGAGCGAAAAAGAAAAATCACACCATATCCATTTGGAATGAGTTAGAACTCGCAGCTAAAGGGAAGTACAATAAGCACTTTCCAATATAACTTATTCCATATACCGACCCTTTTAAATAATAGTAGCAGTGACATGAGAACAATAACAAATGTCTGATTTGTACTGTATCATCCCAAATTATCTCAATTTCCATTTCTAGCCTTCCAAGAATTCCTAGGAAGAACATTCATTCATGAATAAGAAAACCTTCGAAAGTCAAGCCTGTAAATGTGGAAGGCCGGCTGTGCTTCCAAAAGGGGTCTTCTGCACCCTGAGATATTTTTTCCTGTCATTTTAGCTGTCAAACTTAAGAGTAGAGGAATAACTGTATTTATTACTGTGAAATTACAAATGAGAAATCCTTGCTGAATTGGTTTGAAGTATCTGATGATCTAGCATAATACCCATAGTTACTATTTTGCTGCACAATTGGATGTCTTATCTGTCTGTGAATTTATGAGCGACAACATTTTCCTCCAAGTCTCCTTAACTGACTGCCTCTCTATTCATAGCTTAGATCTGTGAAAATGAAGATCATGGTCTATTATTTCAAGCTGTGACAAGCAACCTTGCAAGTGTTTCCTCAACCCAAGGTATGATTACATACCTTGGTGTCACAATGGGGGCTAACAATGTGTATCTAGTAAGTGAACTTTGTTGGCCCAGATAATAATCAGTCAACTTGACAGTTCAAAGTTATAAAGCTGAGGAATAACATCATCTCGCCAAGGATTCCATCAAAGCTTCTGCCAAGCAAATGACACAGGGCATATGTTTGACATTGACGTGCGTGTTCAAACAAGATGCTATCAAGTAAAATGCAGACACCAGAGTCCTTTGAATTTGAGTTCAAAAGATACGGACACTGGAGATGGGACAAATTATTACAGCACTGCTGAATTTCTTTATTTGTTATATAATAGCTGAACTGATTAAAGGTGGGTATGCAATGTGTCTAGGGAAGTGTGTTGTTGTTACTTGCCTCCAAGTCAACTTCAATTTATGATGACCCTATGAATGAGTCACTATTCTCATCAGATTTTGTAGTATTGGACCCACTGCTTCCTTGATTGAATCTATCCATCTGGAATGGGGTCTTCTTCCTTTTTCCTATTGCCTTACATTACAGCTGCATGGGCCTCCAAAATTAATAACATTGTGTGTCACAAGCATATGGTAGGAGTTTGAGTGTTGGGCTAAGATTCCAGAAGACTAGGGGTTGAGTCTCCACTTTATCACAGAACCTCACTGGGTACTCTTGGACAAATCACACTCTCATGCCTTTCTTCTCAGAGGAAAACAGAGGCAAACCTCCTTTCAATAAGTGTGTCCAGGAAACTTAGGTGATCCCTTGTTGTCCGAGTAGGATAGTCTTCCAAGATCAGTGTACTGGTGGGTCTGTAGGTGACTGTGGGGCCCTATTCTTGATCTGCATCTTCTACCACAGTGAGGACATTGGTTTCCAGGCGGAAGGTGGTCTCGGTCGGGGTTGGCTTGATGCACCTTCCTCTTGGCACATTCTCACTTTCGCCCTCCATTCGTGCCTCTTCAAATTCTACAGCACTGCTGGTCACAGCTGACCTCCAGCTGGTGCGCTCAAGGGCCAGGACTTTCCAGTTCTTGGTGTCTATGTCAGAGTTTTTAAGGTTGGCTTTGAGCCCATCTTTGAATCTCTTTACTTGTCCACCAACATTCTGTTTTCCATGTATTGTTGAAGGCTTTCATGGCTGGAATCACTCAGTTCTTGTGGGTTTTTTCGGGCTATATGGCCATGTTCTAGAGGCATTTCTCCTGACGTTTCGCCTGCATCTATGGCAAGCATCCTCAGAGGTGAGGTCTGTTTTCCGTTCTTGAGTTCGGAGTAAAGCAACTGCTTTGGGAGACCGTGGTCGGGCATCCGGACAACGTGGCCAGTCCAGTGGAGTTGATGGCGGAGGACCATCGCTTCAGTGCTGGTGGTCTTTACTTCTCCCAGGACACTGACATTTGTCCTCTTGTCTTCCAAAGAGATTTGCAGGATTTTCTGGCGGTAATGTTGATGGAATTGTTCCCGGAGTTGCATGTGACATCTGTAGACAGTCCATGTCTCGCAGGCTAAAGCAGGGTTGGGAGTACAATAGCATTATAAACAAGCACCTTGGTATCCCTATGGATGTCTCAGTCCAAAAACTATGATAGGGTTGCAATAAGTCATCATCATGCTATGCATAAGCTGATCCCCAGAATTCCTAAATAAGAAGCTGACTAACTATAATAAACAGCAGGGATTTTAAAAAATACATCCCAAAGCTTTCTAATAATACCAAACGATGCTAATATTCTGCTTCACCTTCTACTTTAGATTTGTTTACAACTCATCACACTATAAGCCAAAGCTGGGCAGACAGATGCATATACTGTACTGGAGATCATCCGCACAGCAGAATTATAGCAGTTTGACACTACTTTAACTACCATCGCTCTATCCTGTGGAATCCTGGAATTCATAGGTTTTTTGTGGCACCAGAACTCTGACAAAGAAGTGTAAGTATCTTACAGGAGTACCAATCCCGTAATTACATAGCATTTAGCCATGATGGTTAATGTGGAATTGTCACAATATTCTAATTCTACAATGTGGACACAGCCAAGGTGGATCTCTAAAGAGACTCACTTTCTGCTAAATATGGCCATTTTAAATTATTCAGTAGACAAGAATGTACAAACATGTTAGCTTTCAGCAGCAGGAAGCAGGTAAGTATTGTTGCAATACTTCAAAAATGCTTAGAAAGCGGAACACCAATACATCTGGTGATTGCTTGCCCTCCCCTAATTAATTGATTGACTTGCTCTGCATTTCTTGTTCTGTGGGACAAACAGGACTATCAAGTTGATTTAGTTTTCCCAAGACTGCCATTATAGTATTAAGCAAAAGGTCTAGCTGACACAGGGACTACTAAGTACTAGAAGCATTGGCAGTGTAAGATTTCCTGTTCCATTGCCTTCTCATTGACAAGTTAGATTTGAACCATAGCATATCCTAGATCCAAAAGAGCAACAGAAGGAATCATGACTAGTTGTCTTAGAGCCCTTCTACGCTGCCGTATAGGCTTGTGCATTTTGGGTGAATCACTTTCCAGGTACTGGAAGCCCCCCATATCTGTTTTCCAGCACCTCCCGAAAATGGGTGTGCTGCCGAATGAGTGTTTTCATTCAGCACCTGAAAAAACAACAACAATTCGTGCCATTTTTAGCCCATTGGTGGCATTAGGAAACTTACGAGGCTCCCTTTCCCGTGAACCTTTCCTTGCTTCTCTTCAAGGGAGCCTGGGTGTCAGCAACAGGGTTAAGAAAGCACCCTATCCCATTCCCCCCTCCCCCAATATTCAAATTTGGACATATCAGGTATGTGTGCCTAGTTTGGTCCAGATTCATTGTCATTTGGGTTCACAGTGCTCTCTAGATATAGGTGAACTACAACTCCCAAAATTCAAGGCCAACCCCCCCCCCCCAAGTCCTCCAGCATGTTTTGTTGGTCATGGGGTTCTGTGTGCCAAGTTAGACCCAGGTCCATCATTTGTGAGGTTCAGAATGCTCTTTGATTGGAGGTGAACTATAAATCCCAGTACCTACAACTCCTGATAGTCAAGGCCAATCCCCCCTTCCCAAGCCCCACCAGTATTCAAATTTGGGCATATCGGGTATGTGTGCCAAGTTTGGTCTAGATCCATCATTGTTTGGGTTCAAAGCACTCTGGATGTAGGTGAATTACAACTCCTATAAATCGAGGTTGATTCCTCCCAAATCTCTTCAGTATTTTGCATTGGTCATGGGGGTTGTGTGTGCCAAATTTGGTCCAGAACCATTGTTGAACCATTGGGGGTCACAGTGCTCTGCCTTGATGCAGGGTGAACTACATCATGTTGAGTGAGTCCCCCAAACCCCTCCAGTTTGTTTAGTGGCTGATCAATTCTGCTCTGTTTGCTGTGTACCATAGAGAAGAGTAGGAAAGGGTTATGGGAGAGGCAGTGGGCGGGATCATGCAAATCCTACACCAATGGAGAAAGAGAGAAAGAAACACTGAGAAGTATGTGGTGGAAAAAACACTAGGATGGAATTGTCTCCATATGAGAGCATTCACTTGGGTGGTGGGGAGTATTGCATTTGTGGAGGACATTGGCAGGGCTCTTGTAGATGTTCATGGTGCTCACTATAACCTGTAATGTTGTTGGAGGGAGGGCCTTTGGTGGCTCCTCAGTGTGGGGGCTATAGCTGTTTGTGGAAGTGGGAATCTGTGTGGAAGTGGGAGTCCCAGCCACACACATAAGTTCACTTTTATTATGTGTATGCATAGACTTTTCATTGTCTGTCTCTCTTAATTGTTGTTGTCTTTCTTCTTTGCTTCTGACTGTCAGAGATATCTGACCTAACTACACTTTCACTTTGACCTTTGGTTCCTTATTACTAATGCAAATACACACACACACACACAAACATCCCATATTGCCAACTTTGTTCAATCCTGTCACTTTCTCCTGACCCCTTTTCTCTGGGGTGGCACAGTGGGTTAAACCCCTGTGCCGGCAGGACTGAAGACCTACAGGTCGCAGGTTCGAATCCAGGGAGAGTGCAGATGAGCTCTCTCCATCAGCTCCAGCTCCTCATGTGGGGACATGAGAGAAGCCTCCCACAAGGATGATAAAACATTAAAACATCCGGGTGTCCCCTGGGCAACGTCCTTGCAGACAGCCAATTCTCTCACACTAGAAGCAACTTGCAGTTTCTCAAGTCGCTCCTGACACGACAAATAAAATAAAATAAAAATCTCTGGGGTTAAAATGAGCTAAAATCCAGTTAGATCAATAAAACAGGAACTATAAATGATACTGTAGTAGCAATCAGAATAATAATTTCCATCAGTAGCATTTCAGCAATGCTAATGTAATCACCAAGCTTTTGCTTCATGTTTTATTTTTATTAGCAAATGATGAATGGAAATGATGAATGGAAACTATATAACAGACAAAGGCAAATATAAATTGCAGCACCACGAAAGTTTATTGCATTGCAGTAGAAACAGAATGTAGCTTTCAGTACCACTACAAGAATACATTGCTCTAAAGTTAGAATAAAGTGAGAATTTTTTTCAACTCTAGTTCCTTATTTGCAAGAAGCTGCAAAGCTGCAATTGATTCTGGTTTCAGGAAGTTTTCTTTTGCTTGGCTGATGCTGTTTTTCATGCAATTCACTTTGTTGCCCTTTCTTCGACCGATTTCACCTGAGAGGAGACGACTTTGCCATCCACCACTTCTTCCACTATGGTTTTCACCACCCTGGTTTTGGAGGGTTCTGGTGAGGATAAAGAATTGTGACAATGTTATTTACTAATAGCATTACTAGCACCAGCATCCAGTGAGGGTAATTCTCTTACTATAAATAATATTGTGCTTACAGAACATAGTTCCAGATGGTTGCGGGTGTGTAGATCCATTACAGACTGAGATCTCCCATCACCCATATAACTATGATGTTGTAACTTCTCATCCAGTCCCTGAAACCTACCTTAAAAGCCAGTTCCTGTTTTTGAATCCAGATTATCTGCTTTGAACTGGATTATATGGCAGTGTAGACTCATATAATCCAATTCAAAGCGGATAATCTGGATTCAGAAACTGGATTACATGGCAGTGCAGATCCAGCCTCAGATGGCCAGAATGATAGCGGTCTATACTATTGCTGAGACAGACGCTGCTGGGTTACATAGCCAACTCTTGCCAGTGAACAGTTGCAACAGGACTGTCACTGTTTTTTGTTCCTTTCAGTATTAAACTCTGGACAGAAAGGCCTGATCATGTCATTTTGTAGTGCCGTACTTGGCAGCAATTTAGGGCCCTTCTACACTGACATATAATCCAGAATATTAAGGCAGATAATCTACATTAACACTAGGCCTGGGTAACAACGGAAAAATTTGTTTTTAAAATCGATTTGTATTTGGGGGGTTTTTTTGTTTCGATATTTAAAATAATTACAAAATTTTCCTTTTAAAAAGTTCGATATTTACGAAATTTCGTAAATGGTAAAAAATTAACGAATCGATTTCCGAAACAATAACGAATCGATTCGTTAATGGCGGACGCGACCGCGAAATACGCTAAAAAACCTCCAAAAACTGAAGCTTCCCTCTCCCTCTGTTGTTGACTGTTGGTGTGATATTATAATTTTTTTTCACTAATTAAACAAAAAACTTGCCCCAGACATGCGGAAATAATAACGAAACGACCTCAAACAATAACGAAACGAATACAATATCGAAATACGAAGCATTTACAAAACGTTTTTGAAAATTCTTTTTTTTTATAATTGCTCCAGAATGGTTCGTTATCATTTTGTAATTGAAAAAATTAACGAATTATTAACGAATTACGAATTAACGAAACGAAACCGCCCAGCCCTAATTAACACATTAACGGCACTCCATGCACTCATGCTGGCCACATGACCTTGGAGGTGTCTGCAGACAATGCTGGCTCTTCATCTTAGAAATGGAGATGACTACCACCCCCCAGAGTCAAACACGAGTAGACTTAATGTCAGGAGAAACCTTTACCTTTTCCATAAACCAAATTATCTGCTTTGAAATGGATTGTCTGAGTCTACACTGCCATATAATCCAGTTCAAAGCAGATAATCAGAATTTTATATAAATGTGTGGAAAGGGCCTTTGATATCTGCTTTGGATGTTTAACTAGCTTTTAAGGTGGTTTCAGGATCAGTTGAAGTTCTGAAAATAGTGCCATAATTGAAAATGAGAATATGAAACAGTTATTAATTAACTAGTTATTTATGGTAATTTTATTTGTATGCCACTTTCCCCCCAGCATGGGACTCATGGCAGCTTCCAAAGACAGTAAGTTAAAAAGGCACACAACAAATCGAAAGCCAAATAAAATAGTCACAAAACAATATAAATTATTTTGAAAAAAAAGTTTTAAAAAAGAAAAATGCCCCCATAAAATGCTCCTCTGCTTACAGATTAAAAGTCATCTTAAAGAAAAACATATCTGCCTAAATTACAAAGTCTTTACACCTAACTACCATACCTCTTGTTGTTTGAGGCTTATGGTGACCTTATCATGGAGTTTTCTTGGCAAGATTATCTCAAAGATGGGTTTTGCTTTTGCCTTCCCTTAGGCTGAGAGAATGTGACTTGCCCAAGGTCACTCACTGGGTTACCATAGCTAAACAAGGATTTGAACCCTGGTCTCCAGAGTTGTAGTCCCATGCTCAAACCACTGTACCAAGCTGTCTCACAAGTCTAACATAACATTGGGCCCTTCCACACAGCCCTATGTCCCAGAATATCAAGGCAGAAAATCCCACATTATCTGAGTGTGGATTCAGATAACCCAGTTCAAAGCAGATATTGTGGGATTTTCTGCCTTGATATTCTGGAATATAGGGCTGTGTGGAAGGGCCCATTGTATGTCACCAAAAGAATACTAGTTACAGTTTCCAGATGTGCAGATACTGGATGGTTGGTGGGATTATGACACATGGTTGGAAGTCACTATCTCACTGACAATTTTAGGCAAGATTCAACACTAACAGTGGAAGGGCAAATTTAGATTCAGTTACCAATCCCCTTAAAATATGTCATGGATTGGTGTGGTTATTATATTATTTTGCATTATGGTTGATCTGATGCAATAAGCGTTTTTCACTGTTTTTATGTTGGATTTTTAAAAAACAAAACAAAGGCAGGATTGCAATGAATTTTTTAAAGAAACAATGTAATTGAACTTACCTCTGATGTGAACTTTTGTATCATAAGAGTGGAAACTGTTGGAAAAGAATAAAACAGTAACTGTCAATTCCATTGCAATGCTGATGGAAATTCTTTAAAAAGTAAAAAGAGAAAAAACTTTAAAGGAAGACGTTACATCATGTGGGTCATAGTTTTAACTGTTTTTTGCTGCTTTCATCACGAATAGTATATTTGAATATACAACAGCCCACATGACAACTAAATCAAATGTCATTAGTAATGATAAAACTAAAATTAAACAAAATTAAAACAGAAAAGGTATTGATAGAAAAATCGTGAATGGGCTGTGACCATCTTGTGAAGAAGCAGAAATGTTTGCCTCTCTGGGTGATACTAAATTGCAGTTCACAGCTTCCATTGCCATAACAACCAGTGGAGTGGAATATTGGGAGATGCAATTCAATGATGTTTGGAAAACTGTAGTAATCCTTCCACATTTGCTGGAGTTAAAAATGAACCTCTGCCTTTTTTTTATTTGAGAGAAGAACTTTCTAGGAATCTTCAGGTCCTCCAGTGCAATTCTACCAGAAGTTGATTATAGAATCATGCTGGAGGACCTACAAATGTCTAGAGAGGTTTTTTGAGGAGTTTCTAAGCCTTCCAGCAGAATACTTAGAGATTCCTAGAGAAATCAAATCCACAAATAATAAAATCCTCAAAAGTTAAACCCACAAATGTGGAGGGCCAAATGTGTATGAGTCCCACCTTTGCCATAGTTAACATGTTCAAGATTTCAACCTCTACATATTTCTTGTTAGGGCTGTTGTGTCAAGCATGCCAACCAGCTCTGTTGAATCTTATAAATAAACCCATAGGACAGTGGTTCCCAACCTTGGTCCCCAAGTGTTTTGGCCTACAACTCCCAGAAATCCTTGCCAGTTTACCAATTGTTAGTATTTCTGGGAGTTGAAGGCCAAAACATCTGGAGACCCACAGGTTGAGAACCAATGCCCTATGAGATCAAAGTGGATCTCCTCAGCTAAGGTGGTTAGATCTCTTTACTCAGCTGAGAATAAATAGAAGAAGGCAGTATAATTCCTCCTTTTGATTCATAGGAACTTCAACAGAAGCAGAAGAAAGTTCTCCCATTAGAAAAAAATTAATTAATTGGGAATGTACATTCCTTGTAATGTCTAGTTTAAGATAATCTGGGGAGGCCCTGCTCTCGATCCCACCTGCCTCACAGGCGCGCTTGGCGGGGATGAGGGACAGCGCCTTCTCAGTGGTGGCCCCTCAGCTGTGGAACTCCCTTTCTGGGGATATTAGATCGGCCCCCTCCCTCCTGACCTTTAGGAAAAGAGTAAAATCCTGGCTCTTCGAGCAAGCTTTTGGAACCTCATTGTAACCAGATAAACTCAGTATTGTGAACGAATGTGGAATGGCTCAACTATGGAAATGAACATGGATTTAAATCTGGAAATCTTTGTTTTTTATAATTTTAAATTGTTTTTATATGAGTTTTAAACAATGTATTTATGTGTGTTCGGCATCTAATTGTTGCCAGTCTGTATGTTGCCCTGAGTCGCCATCGGGCTGAAAATGCATAACCCACAAAACATGGAGATATGGCTGTAGTTCTTTTTGGACCACTACTGCTTTCATTTTTTTCTATTCAGATCATTTACTTACTTTTCCCCATCTAGCAGGCGCCTGTATGTTTCAATTTCCATTTCCAGTCGGGTCTTGATGCCCAAAAGTTGTTGGTACTCTGAATTTTGGCATTCTGTTTCAGATCGGATTTGCTGTAGCTGCTCCTCGAGGTTGCTGACTTGAAGCTGTAACTGGTGAAGCTGACTGCTGTAGTTGGCTTCAGTTTCTGTTAGGGTACCTTCCAGAGAAGCTTTCTGTTGATGAGAGAAACAAATTGAAAATGACATGTTTGTTCCAAGGCCAATCAATATACATATTTTGTATATCTGCATATCCCTGAAAATTGCCAACTGGATGCAGAGTTTTGTTTCTTTTGTAGCAGGGAATATTTGGAACTGGGGACCTGCCTGCTTGCTCAGTTTGTTGTCTGGGTGTTTTCTATTGATAAGTCCGTCTGCTTTTCCTTCTCGTAGTAATTCATTCTTAACTAGATTTGGGGGCCTACAGGGATTTTGCCTTGTGTTTGCAGTTGCAGCCCTATACCACCTCATCGACTTTTATACACACACACACACTTTACAAAATGACCTCCTGTTCACATGCTGCTTCTGATATCATTCTGTCAGAAAAAATAGAGCAAAGCACAAACCTTTGCCAAAAGGGACTGTAGTTCAATTTCTAATGACTGGAAGGAGCGCTTGAGTTCAATTAACTCATTCCTGGCTGAGTTTACAGCACCGGCATCATCATAGATCTGCTGCTGTAGCGGTTGGCTCTACGGATAAAAATAAAATCAATATAATGTAACTCAATCAAGGAAACAAGCAAGGAAATTTTGTTGTGCAATCCTAAAATGCATCTATTTCAGCAGTTTAGTATCTATTTTGTATATCTAGTGAATAATTAATATATAACTGTTGAGCAAATTTGCAAACTGCTCTGAGATTATTAGAAGTGGACAGGCATAGCTACAATATACTTTTTGTCCTCTATATTAGCTGGCGTTAGTGGGGCAGAAACCCCATGAAAGTGAAAAAAATACAAATAAAAACAGTTTTAAAATCTTTCTAGGAATTTCTAGGTCCTCCGGTGCAACTCTACTATAGAATCACATTGGAGAACCTACAAAAGCCTAAAGCAGTGGCTCTCAACCTGGGGTCCCCAGATGTTTTTGGCCTACAACTCCCAGAAATCCTAGCCAGTTTACCAGCTGTTAGGATTTCTGGGAGTTGAAGGCCAAAAACATCTGGGGACCCCAGGTTGAGAACCACTGGCCTAAAGAAACGGTCTCTCTAAGAATCTCTACGCTTAATTTCTGGTGGACGTAGACCATACAGGCTCACTGAAGGACTTCAGGGATTTCAAAAGAGAGAATATTAATCAACATTGCAAATCATCAAATTTGCAAAACTTAAATCCATAAATGTGGAGGGCAGATTGAAGAATTAAATGCAAATTCAGTTCAATATAGTAAATCCAGATGATTGTTTTTTAGGAAAAGAGCAACAAATATGTTAGTATATTTTGGGTACTGTTCTATTATCTAGACCAGTGGTTCTCAACCTTTGAGTCCCCAGATGTTTTGGCCTTCAACTTCCAGAAATGCTAACAGCTGGTAGGATGGCTGGGAATTCTGGGAGTTGTAGGCCAAAACACCTGGGGAACCACAGGTTGAGAACCATTGATCTAGACGGATCCCAAAAAGGAGCCTAGACAGAGATGGATAGTCTGTTTTATGGGGTGGGGGGGGGGGGGGGGGGAAGGAGGAAAACAATTTTCCCAATTTTCTCTGGTTATCCCCCCCCCCCTTTCCCATATCATAAATGATTGTTTCGAGGACGGCAACATTGGTGGGTGGAATAACAGGAAAGCAGGGGGAAATGGTTAAACTCCTTCAACCCCCTTCCCTGAATAGAATGGGACTATCCTCTATCTAGTGCAGTGGTTCTCAACCTTCCTAATGCCGTGACCCCTTAATACAGTCCCTCATGTTGTGGTGACCCCCAAACATAATATTTGATATGCAGGGTGTATTTTCATTCACTGGACCAAACTGGGCACAAATACCCAATACACCCAAATGTGAATGCTAGTGGGGTTGGGGGAGGATTGATTTTGTAATTTGGGAGTTGTAGTTGCTGGGATTTATAGTTCACTTATAATCAAAGAGCATTCTGAACTCTACCAGCAATGGATTTGAACCAAACTTGGCTTCCATGACCAATGGAAAACACTGGAAGGGTTTGATGGGCATTGACCTTGAGTTTGGGAGTTGCAGTTCACCTATATCCAGAGAGCACTGTGGACTCATGCAATGGTGGATCTGGACCAAACTTGGCATGAATACTCAATATACCCAAATGTGAACACTGGTGGAATCTGGGGAAAATCTGGGGAAAATGATCTTGACATTTGGGAGTTGTAGTTGCTGGGATTTATAGTTCATTACAATCAAAGAACATTCTGAACTCCACCAACTATAGAATTGGCTCAAACTTCTCACATGGAATCCCCATAACTATCACAAAATGCTGTGTTTTCTTATGGCCTTTGGTGACCCCTCTGACACCCCCTCGCGACCCCCTCAGGGCTCCCGACCCGCAGGTTGAGAAACACTGATCTAGTGCATCCTTGTGACATCCGCTCGGATAATGGAACAGAACTGAGAATCGGTTTGTAAATCCCAGACACAGCCATTTGAAATGTACATACATGTACATATTTACCCAAAAGTAAATATCATTGTGTTCAATGGGGTGTACTCCCAGATAAGTGTGTACAAGATAGCAGGCTTACAGTACAAATGCTACACATGCTTTTACCCTGTACAGGTCCATTGAGTTCAATACGATTTGCTTTCTCTTCTAAGATTGATTTGTATAAACCTTTAACATTGAAAATTGATAAGGCAGGTTGGTTCACTATCCAATGTAAAGGAACAGTACACATTCCGTTTCTTGTGTAGTGCATTCTGCATAGAAGTTACAAGTGAATGCACTGCATGGCATTGTCTTTCCATAGTCATTCCGCTCACCATTTTGTGGAATTGTTCTTCAGCCTCTCTGCGGTTCTGTTCTGCAAGGTCTTCATATTGCGATCTCATGTCGTTCAGTAGCTTAGTCAAGTCTATCCCTGGAGCTGCGTTCATCTCCACAGTGACATCACCTGTGCTGGTACTCTTCAGCATGTTGATTTCCTGAGCAAGAATATGGAAAACAAATGAATGAAAACTCATCCTGAGGTTTGTAATTCAAGGGAAGGAAGGATCCAGCTACTGGATCTAATCTGGCCAGAAGCATTATAAATCAGGCCAAAGAAATTCACTGTTTAAGGAGCTCCATTGGTTGCTGTTCATCCATTGGTCCCAATTCAAGGTGCAGGTTATCACGGTTCGGGACCCATCTACCTTCATGACTGCATCTCCCTCTATAAACCTGTATGAACTCTTCAATCCTCTAAGGAGGCCCTCCTCTCACTTCCACTGTCATCACAAGTATGACTTGTGGGGATGAGGGAGAGAGCCTTCTCTGCCGTGGCCCCTCGGCTCTGGAACTCACTGCCTGGTGAAATTAGGCAAGCCCCTACCTTGGCAGCTTTTAAGAAAGACCTAAAAACTTTTCTCTTCTGATATGCCTTCGGCGAGTGAATATATTTCCTATATGCAGTCTGTTCCAACTACTTCTCCATCCTCATAAGGCATCCCCGCCCTTAATGAAGGCTTAACTCTACTGTTCCGGTCCTTTTGTGCTCCTCCCTCAGAAATCCATTCTTCCTCAGAAACACATTCTACATATCTCATCCAGGGTTTTATCAATTTTATTCCTAGTACATTTGGCCCGCCCACTGTGTTCTATTTCTCTATCATGTTGTTTTGCAACTGTTTATTTTATTTTGTTATTTCAGGTATTTATTTTGATGGTATTTTTGCTTCTTGTATTTTATTTTGCTGTATTGTAATTTTGGGCTTGGCCTCATGTTAGCCGCCCCGAGTCCCCTTTGGGGAGATGGTGGCTGAGTATAAATAAAGATTATTATTATTATTTTACTGACACAAAAGCACAGTATGTCACAGCAAACGCGAACTATATGCTGGATTTCGTATCACAAAATCACAAGTCAAACACTTCCCAAGCATCTAGGACTGTGTAATGAATTATTATTATTATTATTATTATTATTATTATTATTATTATTAGCATCTAGAACTAGATCTGCTCTCCTTTTCTTTCTCTAGCTTTCCTTCTTCATTTGTGTCTGACCTCAGTCCAAAACCCTGGTATCAGGACTTTTTGGACTCTCTTTGGACCCTGTGAACTATGGTAACAATGGAACTATTCCTATGAGTATATTACAGAGCTACACTAATTATTACTGATATATCATAGCTTGTTCATGCATATCTTCAATTTGGGAAATGGCTTCAAGGCAATTCTGTGACTCAGCGGCTTTCTGTATATAAATAATTAGCTCCTCAGATGCCAATAAGTAATCACCTAGATTTTGGGCATATTGGTCCTATTTAAGACCTATGATTGGGAAAGAATGTTGTGATGAAACTGTATAACAGTTTGAGAATTACATAGAATTATTCTACTTCGCAGAAGAAAATGTTCCCAGCAACTGGGAAACTTGTATCAGTAATATTATCACTCCATACTTTTCTTTCCAAAATCAATCAATTTTCAGTAATTCCAGTATCCAAGATTTACTGATGTTTATCAAGTAGAATGTTTCACCAAATAAAATTGTGTAGCTTCATGCCTTTTTTGTGTGTCAGGAGCGACTTGAAAAACTGCAAGTCACTCCTGCTGTGAGAGAATTGGCCACCTGCAAGGATGTTGTCCAGGTGACATCCACATGTTTTACCATCCTATGGGAGGCTTCTCTCATGTCCCCACACAAGAAGCTGGAGCTGACATATGGGAGCTCACCCCGCTCTCCGGATTCGAACCGCCAACCTTTCGGTCAGCACTCCTCCCGGCACAGGAGGGGGTCCTCTTCATGCCTTTGACACCAGACTTTCCCATTTCCAACTTTCAGATATTAATTCAGCGACAACCTACAATGTTGCAAAGTTCTGTGCAGCAGCATACAAAATCCATCAGGGAATGACTAGTCCCAAAAGTTAACTGTGTGTCAAGTAATCTTCTTCTCTGAATCTACAATTTGGTGATGGATCTGAGCATTGTATGTTTTTACCCTGTTTCCCCTTCCCTTCTGCTCCCTCACCCATACTGTGCTTCAGCAGTTATATTTATATTTTTAATGTACCAGACATACCAAGTTTGTATGAAAATGTGACTATTTCCTGTGCTGGTCAATGACCGAAATAAATGATTTGATTTGATTTGATTTCCAACTTCTTCATTCACCTTTCGCCACTTTTTGTAACTTTCTTGCCCAATAAAGTGATCTGGAGAGCTCAGAACCTTGTGTTCACAGTTTTGTAGGCTGATCTGATAAAAATTCACCTGATTGGATTTTTTCCTTAGACCAATAGAGATTCTTGTGTTCATGATTAGTCTTTTAATGTTTCTCTAAGGAAATGGGATTTTCAGATAGGTTTCTTTAGACCATTATTCTTCCTATGACATACGTTGGAAGTGTTCCCAGTGAAAATACAACAGAGAAAACAATCTGCATCTAATTAACTCGATAGCTTTAGGACTGAAAGTCTCTGGAACAGATCCATTATCTCTGCAGGACTCAGGGGTATCTACTAGGCATTAAAGCTCAAGGCAAAGCAGAGCTCTCCAAATAATAAAGGGTTAATTCCAGCTGCACCTATTTCCACTTTAGTCTGGATTTGCCAGTTTTACCTTACAGGCTGAAAGTATAAGATGATGAATTGCATGCAGATGACTGTGGGAAGCTCAGCCAAAACTACAGTTCCTAATCCCACATACCTTGCGTAATAATACTGGACCACACAGATAGCCATAGATAGACTAATCATTAAATCTATTTATGGCACAATCCAGACACTTTAATTTAGAGAGATAGTCATCCGGAGCCTCTAATAAGGGTGCATATCCCTCTATTGGTTTTTTATTAGTCTTAGGTTTTTTTATTATTCTAATGATATAGCACTTCTGATCAGGAATAGAAGGTGTGTGGAAGAACTGCCATATAAAATGTATTATGCTTTCTATACAATGGTGCAGCTTGGTTTCATGGTATCATGACCTCATTTGACTACATAACCAAGCCATACTATTTTGTGAACCCTAATGTGGATGTTTTGTTTAGATTTATGTTATTATGGAATTTTGTCTGATTATGTGTAGTTTAATTTATTGAGGTCAGGATTAATTTACTGATGTTAGGTCTTAATCTGATCTTAGGCTTTAACATTACTTTTATATGTGGGGGTTTTCTGGGATTTTATGTTAGTATTATGTGTTTTATGGAGGCATTGAATGTTTGCCATTGTTATGCTGGAATCCACCCTGAATCCCCTTGGGGAGATAGGGCAGAATACAAATAAGGTTGTTGTTGTTGTTGTTGTTATTATTATTATTATTATTATTATTTGAAACACAACAAGATGAGCCCACAGCAGACACTCTGCTGGCTGTTGCATTGGATCACACGTCGGACACTTCCCAAGTGTCTAGGACTGTGTGATGTATCGGCGAATAATTTGTGCAGATCCCAGTAAGGTGACCTTTTGCAGCTGGCAGCTGGTAATTTTGTCAGTGCCAATTGTGTTTAAGTGCAGGCCAAGGTCTTTAGGCACTGCACCCAGTGTGCCGATCACCACTGGAACCATCTTGACTGGCTTGTGCCAGAGTCTTTGCAATTAATGTTGTTGTTGTTGTTGTTGTTGTTGTTATTATTATCTTATGCTGGAAGTATAAATGAACTTTATTAATGTCCACATTGTTTATGGTGATGTGTCAAAAAGTTTTGCCAATATTCTCTGCTTATCTCTACGTACTTACTCAACTATAAATACAATATGACCTCTGTCTCTGTGGGGAATATATTTCTGAGCTAACGATGGAAACAAGAAAATATGGATAACAGTGAACTGTATTAAAACAAATATTTTCTGCCAAAAGTTACCATAGACTTATTCTGAAGGACTTTTAAAAAATCCCAGATAGGTATTCTTACTACAAATTTGCAATGTCCTCCAACATGACTCTATGATAACTTCCGATGGAAACATACCACTGAATCGCCTGGAGCACTTAGAAAATTATTTTTGCAAAAGGGAAGGTTCTTTACCTCCTCGTGATTCTTCTTCAAGTATGCCAGTTCCTCTGTCAGGCTTTCAAGCTGGGCTTCCAGGTCAGAACGGTTCATGGTCAGTTCATCAAGCACTCTACGCAGACCATTAATGTCAGATTCAACACTCTGGCGGAGGAAGAGCTCATTTTCAAATCTGAAAGGCAATATGTGAAAAGATGAAAAGAAAATGAATCACTTGAATGATGTGTTAAGACAAGAAATGAAAGGTCAAAACTGAAATCAGGAAGTGCTTGGCACATCCAAAGCATTGGCTTGTATCTGAAGGTAAGCTATTTTAATGAAATTCATTGAAGAGAAGCTTCTTACCTCCTCAAGCCAGAGGTTGGAAAAGTTAGCTTTTCAGATTACAACTCCTAGAATACTCATTGCAAGTGTAGTAATTGGCATGCTGTTCTGGAGTATACTTAGGGAGTTGCAGTCTGAAAGAAAGTAGCTTTTCTGCCCTTTGTACCCAACTCTTTGCAACCTTCCCTGCCTTTTAAGAGCCAGTTTGGAAAGCTGTAGACATCTAAACAATATTAAAACCACCAGCCAATCACTGCTTCCCTATGTTATTAGGGACAGAGTAGTGGGTTGGTGGCTTTCATTTTCATGAATTTAGTCTGAGGTTTGGTCCATGCATTAAAAGAGCTATCCAAAGTGTTGAATCTGTTTTCAGAATAGGGTTCAGGATCTTAAACAGAAGCTGGATGGCCATCTGCTGGGAGTGCTTTGAATGCAATTTTCCTGCTTCTTGGCAGGGGGTTTATTTATTTATTTATTTTATTTACAGTATTTATATTTCGCCCTTTTCACCCTGCAGGGGACTCAGGTCGGATTACAGTTTACACATATATGGCAAACATTCAATGCCAATTTGACATACAACGTATACAGACATACACAGAGGCTATTTAATTTTTTCTGGCCGCCAGGGGAGCTGTCGCTTTTATCGTCCATCTGCGACACTGATGAAGTACTTTCGCATTCCCTGCATGCTTCTGCTGGAGTGCTTTGCTGGAGTCTTTTTTATGGCCTCATAAATTAGTTAATTTAGCCTCCTCACACAAGGTGGTACCTAATTTTCCTACTTGACAGATGCAACTGTCTTTCAGGTTGCAAAGGTCGACAACAGGCTACACAATTGGTTGGAAGCTCACTCGAACCCGGGCTGGCTTCGAACTCATGACCTTTTGGTCAGAGTGATCTTAATGCAACTGACACTCAGCCAGCTGCGCCACAATCCCGGTTGGGCAGGATAGCCCAAAAGGTCTCTTCCAACTTGTCTTTTCTATGTCTTTTAATGCTCAGCTTGAAACCAAGTGCATATGCATTGTCCTACTGATATGGAACCATTAGCCACCACTGAATGGAGCTACTGGGAGAAGGGTGGGGGGAGGAAATGGGAAATATTCCTTATCTTAGGATATACGCCTAATATTGAATAATTTTTCAATCCTTCAGAATATAGAAGGGTCCCCAGACTTCAAGAGAGATATTTACAGGCTGCAGGTGGATAAAAGGAAGTAGGAAGGAAATAAGGAAAAATCAATAAGATTCATGGAAACCAATGGAATGTCATGATTTCACTGGGTCTGTTCTACATATGACAATGTCTAGCTTGAGAAATAGCATATAAAAAGAGGAATATATTACTATACATGGGATTTAGATTTCACACTTTCATTTGCACTTTTGGAACTTAATCTTACTGACCCTCACATTGCTGGAAGTAAGTTTTCAGGGTTGGAGCAGACTAGAAAATTGTGGTCCACAAGAACTCTTAAAGCAAAAAGTATTGTGTTTACTTACTTGAGGCGGAAATCATCAGCAGCAAGCCTGGCATTGTCAATCTGTAAGACTACATTGGCATTGTCAATTGTCGTATTGACTATCTGGAGTGAAAACATAAAAAGAAGAGGGCAACATTTGTTCAGTGATGCTGTTTCATTTCCAAACTAATGGCAGATAAATTTGTGCATAATCAGGGTTTACAATTAGAGGAACATTAGAGAGAAGGAAAAACATCATTGAGTTTATTCAGTGGGCTATCTCCTAAGAATTGGATATAAGATTGCACTTTTGGTTTCCCCCCCAATAAACATTGCACTGATATATACTTTCTTAAACTTTCCTTACCTCATACATTTAGGATATGATAAAAAGGCAACGAAAATGGTTTTTAGAGCTATTTTTCAACAAATGTAGTTGAAAAACGACTTGTCATTATTGTGGTCTATAAATCTGGTGGAAGCATGGTTAAATTTAAATTAAGAATATATCTACTAATATGTACAATTACTGTGAAAATAAATAAATAAATAAATAAATAAATAAATAAATAAATAATAATCTTTAATAATACCCCGCCACCATCTCGCCAAGGGGGACTCGGGGTGGCTAACATGAGGCCAAACCCAACAATTACAATAAAGCAAAATAAAATACATACAACAGGCAATAACTTAAGAAAGGAACATTGACACTTTTGAACTTGAGACAGTTTGCTTCCATTAACTCCACAATTCAAGTGTGAATTGGGGCTGTTCACCTCAAGAAAGAGAAATGTGTGAAATTTCCTGTCCAGATCATATTGGGCAGTTTTACACATTTTATTGAACTCCATTAGATACTTCTCAACTGACTCATATACATAATTGAGATATACATTATCTGCCATGTGAACGCCAGAGAAATGAGAGTGCCCAATTAGAGAAATAAATGAAAAGTACAGAAAATAATCTTTATACATAAATTTCAATATGATCCCCAGTGGTGCAATGGATGTGCTGGCAGGACTGAAGGTTCAAATCCAGGGAGAGGGCAGATGAGCTCCCTCTGTCAGTTCCAGCTCCCCAAACAGGGACATGAGAGAAGCCCCCCACAAGGATAGAAAAACATCAAAACATCCAGGTGTGCTCTGAGCAAAGTCCTTGCACACGGCCAATTCTCTCACATCAGAAGTGACTTGCAGTTTCTCAAGTCACCCCTGACACGAAATAAATAAATAAAATAGAAGCAATGATGAAAATGTCAACTTATTTGGTATTTATTATATATAATGGATTCCAAAATCTTGAGATTTTGACCGTAGTATGAGGCAATATTTATTTTGGGCTGGTTTCTGTACTTATATGTTTAAACATTTCAAGCTTGAATATGAAGACACTTCCGAGTTTAAGTAAATTTTTCAAAAATAAACAGAAGTACATGTTTGCACCAGTCAAATTCAATACATGCAGCTATTCCAGGCATGGGCAAACGTTGGCCCTCCAGGTGTTTTGGACTTCAACTCCCACAATTCCTAACAGCCTACCGGCTGTTGGGAATTGTGGGAGTTAAAGTCCAAAACACCTGGAGGACCAACGTTTGCCCATGCCTGAGCTATTCCCACCATTGAAAAGACTAAATTTTACTTAATTTGCTCTAAAAGTATTAAAACCAAGAAGCCTCAGGAAAAGGAAGGGGTAATCTACCAATGCCATAGACATGACTGAATATAGAGTGACTGAAACATGGACTTTGACAAGGCAAACACTGAAAACCCTGGATTTGGATGAGGGAGGTTGTTCATTTTGATACCTCCCATATTTTAATTTTAAAACACTGAAAATATTTCCTCCCTGGTTGGGGATAAATTTTCAGCATTGAGTATATTTTTAAAATCCAAAAAGGAAGGGACATACTCGTTTATTCCTGATATCACCTTGACAGAACTGAACTGAATTGGAGCAGCAAAAGAATGCTCCATTTGCTGCCTTTGGCTCTACAAGTTTCTGTCCAAAGCCACAAACAATCCTTCTGAACGTTTTCATTTTCTCACCTTATTGCGAAGGTCTTCAATGATCTGATGATATTTGGTGTAGTCACGGACCACTCCGGGAGCTCCTGGTCCATTTTTTTCATACCAATGGCGAATTTTAAGCTCAAGTTCGGAATTGGCTTCTTCCAGAGAGCGCACCTTTTCCAAGTAGTTTGCCAAGCGGTTGTTAAGGTTCTGCATGGTTTCCTTTTCAGCACCAGCCAAAAAGATACTGTCACCAGTTCCAAAGCCACTACTCGAAGCCATAGCGGAACTGGTACGATAGTTTCCTCCATAGTTGCCACCTGGCATAGAAGCGCTACCAAAGCCAGCTCCTCCACCAAAGCCAGCTCCTCCACCAAAACCAGATCCTCCACCAAAGCCGGCTCCTCCACCAAAGCCAGATCCTCCGCTGCTAAAGCTCACTCCACTCCCATACCCACCTCCACTTCCAAAGCCTGTTCCGCCAAAGCCACCACACACACTCCCTCCGCAACCACTGCCAAGTGCTGCCAGAGAACCCCCTCCATAGCCATGCATGCCGCTTCCTCCACTGCCCAACAACTTGATGCCACTATTACCTCCGGCAATGGGAGAGATTCTCCTGGATGCAGTAGAGATCCTAAGAGACATTATAACTTAGTGGTGAGAGTTGTTAAATTGCAGCAGGGAAAGTCAAAAGGCAGAGTCAAAAGCTAGGCAATCAATGTGCTAACAAGGGAAGCTTTCCCTTTTATATCAGATCCCTAACGTGTTGCTTTTGCAATGCCTCCTACCTGTGGCAAAATATTTTTTTGACTATGTAGCAGATCTAACCTGAGTGACTCTCCCTTCCCCCACCATAATTTAGGCTAATACTGTGTCCATTTGCAGTTTGGTGCCCTGAGGGTTTTGGTGATGTTGAGGGCGGAGCAGGGTGGAACAAAGTTAAAAATTCATTATGGTATTGTAATTGTAGATGAGTAATTCTCTTCTTCTCCCTTCCCCCCACCTTCCCTCAGACCCAAGGCACAATACTCTTAATTCCCAGGGCAAATCTCTTGCGTTACCATATAAGCTCCCACTCTTCATTCACATGCTATAATAATGGTAGCATTTGGTGCTTGTCTGCCTAGCTGACAAAGGTCTCCTTCATGGATATTTTTTCTGCTGGGATTGGGATGAATTTAGGTAATTTTAGATTCTGTATTCTACCACCTTCAAGAGCTCTGCCACATTGTATGGTAATATGATGTGCCTCATATCAAGATGGAATGAATTTTAATTTTGTTTTGTTTGGGGATTCTCGGTGGCACAGTGGGTTAAAGCGCTGAGCTGCTGAACTTGCGGACTGAAAGGTTGCAGGTTCGAATCCGGAGAGTGGTATGAGCTCCCGCTGTTAGCCCCAGCTTCTGCCAACCTAGCAGTTGGAAAACATGCAAATGTGAGTAGATTAATAGGTAGCAGGTTCGAATCTGGTAGAGGCTTGAGCTCCTGTTGTTAGCCCCAACTTCTGCCAACCTAGCAGTTCGAAAACATGCAAATGTGAGTTGATCAAGCGGGAAGGGAACAGCACTCCATGCAGTCATGCTGGCCACATGACCTTGGAGGTGTCTATGGACAACGGTGGCTCTCTGGCTTAGAAATGGAGATGAGCACCATACCCCAGAGTCAGACACAACTGGACTTAATGTCAGGGGAAAACCTTTACCTTTATCTGGGGACTCTGTGCTTCATTTTACCAAGTGTGATCTCAGTACCTTGATTCAAATGCCTTGCCCTGATGCAGAATGTCTTTTCTTGGTTGCTTTGGAATAGAATATGTACTTTTATCATTTAAAAACTGCCTTTCAAAAACTGCCTTTTAAACCAGTGCCTGAGAGTATCGCTATTATCCAGCTCCCAATCTAACCCCGCAAAACTCAACAAGCAGTGGCAGTGACCCTTGCAAGGCCTTGTAACTTTTTGTCATTCTATTGCTCACTGGTGGGAGCGGGATGAACGTGTCATCTTTCAGGGTCCCACGCACCAATTCTTTGGTTGTTATGGCAGGCTGCCTTTTAAGATGGGTTTTAAGGGGCATTTGCAGTTGTAGCAATGGATCATACATGTGAATTCCAAAAATTGCAAGGTTGCAAGCCTAGTCAATTGACACTTGCTGGACTTAAAACATATCTGACCATTTCATTGTTTTTCTATTGGCCATAGTTTTTTTAAAGGACAGGATGACCTTTGAGATTATAACCTTTTGGAAAACCAGAATCTCTAAAGCCTTTTGGAAGTGTGACCTTTTCAAGATTCATTGGCATTCACTACTATTTGAAAAATCATAACCCTTTTGCCAAGTATGATCTTCCTGAACCATGGTCATGAAAACAGTTGGAAATAGTACAACTGTGACAGTTTGTTGGTTGTATCTCAGGGAAGTGTACCTAAACAACTAATTCCAAGATTCCATAGAAGCTGTGCCAGTTAAGATGTTATGTGTGCACGCCTTCAAGTCACCTACTGACTTATGGTGACCCTGTTCATTTCATAGGGTTTTCTTAGGGAAGGAATGCTTAGAGGTGGTTTTTGCCAGTTCCTCCCTTTGGAATATTTACAGCACCTGGTATGCATTGGCAGTGCTCATCCAAGCACTAACCAGGGCTGGCCCTGCTTAGCTTCCAAGATCAGATGGGATCTAGTGCTTTTAGGTTATTTAGTAGGCCTGGGTAACAACGGAAAAATTTGTTTCTAAAATCGATTTGTATTTGGGGGGTTTTTTTGTTTCGATATTTAAAATAATTACAAAATTTTCCTTTTAAAAAGTTTGATATTTACGAAATTTCGTAATTGGTAAAAATTAACGAATCGATTTCAGAAACAATAACGAATCGATTCGTTAATGGCGGACGCGACCGTGAAATACGCTAAAAAACCTCCAAAACCTTCTGAAGCTTCCCTCTCCCTCTGTTGTTGACTGTTGGTGTGATATTATAATTTTTTTTCACTAATTAAACCATAAAACTGGCCCAGACATGCGGAAATAATAATGAAACGACCTCAAAACAATAACGAAACGAATACAATATCGAAATACGAAGCATTTACAAAACGTTTTTGAAAATTCGTTTTTTTAATAATTGCTCCAGAATGGTTCGTTATCGTTTTGTAATTGAAAAAATTAACGAATTATTAACGAATTACGAATTAACGAAACGAAACCGCCCAGCCCTATTATTTAGGCTCTAAGTTTATATTGCTCTGGAAAGGCAATATAAAATAATGATTTGAATAGCCACCATTTTCAATCACAGCATACTATGGAAAATCCAAGAGAGTTGAAGGAGCCTAAAATGTACGCTATATTCCAGAGCGACTTCCTTGTACCAAGCTCATTTTGAAAGATGTTATAATTAATAAAAAGCAACTAACACATGTGCTTCCATCCGGAAATCTCTGTGCTACCTTTGGGTGCCTCTGCCATCTGAGTTAAGGCAGGTGGCTTTGGGAGAATGGCTTCTTATTTATTATTTATTTATTTACAGTATTTGTATACCGCTTTTCTCACCCCGAAGGGGACTCAAAGTGGTTTCCACATAGGTAATTGCAAAATTCAATGCCAGCACAAACAGTTACAATTATACGATTACAGTTAGACATAAATCAAATTAAAATACATCCATAAATAGTAGAACAATAATTAAAACAGTAAACAATCTCATCCATCAAATCGCCATTCCAGTCATTGTCTTTCCAAAATGCTGCATAGATTTGTTTCTACTGCCCGAAGGCCTGGTCCCAAAACCATGTTTTTAATTTTTTCCTAAAAGCCAGGAGGGAAGGAGCGGATCTTACCTCATTTGGGAGAGTGTTCCATAGGCGGGGGGGGGGGGGGGCACAGCCGAGAAGGCGCTGTCTCTCGTCCCCGCCAGGCGCATTTGCGCTGTTGACGGGAGCGAGAGCAGGGCCTCCCCGGATGATCTTAGATTACGAGGTGGGACATAGGGGCAGATGTGTTCGGATAAGTAAGCTGGGTCAGAACCGTATAGACCTTGGTTGTGGTATCTTGTTATCAAAAGTGTCTCCCTAGAGCAGGGGTCCTCAAACTTTTTAAACAGAGGGCCAGGTCACAGTCCCTCAAACTGTTGGAGGGCCAGATTATAATTTGGAAAAAAACAACAACAAACATAAATGAATTCCTATGCACACTGCACATATCTTATTTGTAGTGAGAAAAAAACCCACTTAAAAACAATACAATAATTAAAATGAAGAACAATTTTAACAAATAAAAACTAAAAAAATAGTATTTCAATGGGAAGTGTGGGCCTGCTTTTAGCTGATGAGATAGGATTGTTGTTGTTGTGTGCTTTCAAGTCATTTCGGACTTAGGTTGACCCTGAGCGAGGGCCGGGTAAATAACCCCTGGAGGGTCGTATCAGGCCCCCGGGCCTTAGTTTGAGGACCCCTGCCCTAGAGTTTCACTTGCTGTCAATGCTGTTTTCCTTAACTTAAGGTGAAACCTTTAGAAACCTTCCCCTTTGTGGCCATTTTAATTATTGCTCTTACCACTATTTATGACTCTTTTTCGGAATGCCACTATAATGGTATTTTTTGTCTGTGTCATATTATGATGTCATTGTTTTGCCTGTGGTTTCATCAACCACTGAGAAAACATTGGTTGTTCATTATTTATTTTATTATTGTAGTGTGCTTTCAAATAGTCTCTGATGACTAAAGCTTCTATCCAAGGAATTCTTGGTAAGATATGTTAAGAGAGAGCCTCCCTTTGCCTTCCCTTCAGGTGGAAAGAGTGTGATTTGCTCAAAGTCACTTGGTTGGTTTTCATGGCCAAGAAGGGATCTTAACCCTGGTCTCTGGCGTTTTTGTCTACTGCCCAAACCATTATATACAGACTCACTCTTATTTGTTAAGCCCCCCTCCCCCACCCAACAAAGGCTTTTGTTTTGCTACAAGTTGCATACTTGTAAACTTCTTAGGCTGAATTTACACCGCCAAATAATGCAGTGAACCCTAAGATCTTCCGGGGAGGCCCTTCTTTCGCTCCCACCCCCGTCGCAAGCATGGTTGGTGGGGACGAGAGAGAGGGCTTTCTCGGTGGTGACCCCTTGCCTCTGGAACACCCTTCTGAGGGAAATAAGACAGGCCTCATCCCTCCCCTCTTTATGTAAGAGCTTGAAGACCTGGTGTTTTCATCAAGCCTTTGAGAATGACTAGTATTAGTCCAGCCCTGGGCATTGTTAGAATCCGGCCTTGTATCTTCCACTTTTATATCCCGAACGGCCCTCTAACAGGCCCAGGAAATGAGCAGCCACAGGCCCATAATTATTATTGCTGGTGGTCAATAATAATAATAATAATAATAATAATAATAATAATAATAATAATAAACTTTATTTGTACCCCGCTACCATCTCCCCAAAGGGGACTCAGAGCGGCTTACATGGGGCCAAGCCCGAACAAAAATTACAATATAACAGTACAAATTACAATCAAATAAACAACATAACAGTAAAATATTTACCCATTTTCCAGCCCCTCATATCCTGGTTTACACTAGCCCGGCGCATTTCCCAGCTCTTCATATCCTGGTTTGCACTAGCCCGGTGCACCTCCCAACCCTTCGTATCCTGGTTTGCACTAGCCTGGCCCATTTCCCGGCCCTTCATATCCTGGTTTGCACTAGCCCGGC